TTTGGACATCACCAAGACATTGCCTCTCCTCCTAGTGTGGGGAGGGAGTCAGGCACATGGGCAGGGGCAGAATTCAGGAATTGTGATTTGGAATAGCAGAGTTCCCAGGCTCCTGCATGGCCCTCCAGCAGGGAGGGCCTGGTGAGTAGGGAGAGCATGAGAGAAACACAGGTGGTTCTGGAGCTTGACGCCCACCCTATGAGACCATAGGGCCTCAACTGCCTTTCCAAAAAACTGGAAGCAATGTGGCCTTTCTTGAGGGTAATTGTGAGAGTTGGATAAGGTACAAAGTGGCCAAAGGAAGACACTAACCAAGATAGGACATCATCCATGGTGTTAAGATGGGCATGAGGGGTGTCTTTAGGAGGGGTGAGAATTCATGGATACAGATGGGGCAGCTGGGGCTTTGGACTCTGGTCTTTAGGGCTCATGCATAATATACTCAGAGAATGAAATCTACACTCAGCCCCAACAAGAAAAAATGGAAGAGTGTAGCAGTTAAGAACTTGGTCTGGGCTGGGCCCAGTGGCTCACACCTGTAATCCCAGCACTTTGGAAGGCTGAGGCAGGCAGATCACCTGAGGTTGGGAGTTCAAGACTAGCCTGATCAACATAGAGAAACTCCATCTCTACTAATAATACAAAATTAGCCAGGCATGGTGGTGCACTCCTGTAATCCAAGCTACTCAGGAGGCTGAGGCAGGAGAATTGCTTGAACCTGGGAGGTGGAGGTTGCGGTGAGCCAAGTTTGTGCCATTGCTCTCCAGCCTGAGCAACAAGAGTGAAATTCCATCTCAAAAAAGAAAAAAAAAAAAAAAAAAAAGAACTTAGTCTGGAGTCAGTCTCCAACACAAATTCCATTCCCTCACTTCTAATCATATTGACCTCTCCAGGCCTGAGATCCTTCATCATAAAAATGGGGAGAATAGTAGTTTCTACCTCGCAGGCTTGTTAGGATTAAATGAATAAATGCTTGTAAATTACCTAGTACAGTGCCTGATACTATTAGGGGTTGTAAGCCAAAGAGGTTCAAATATTTTCCACCTGAGAGAAAAGGACCCAGATTTCCCAGTGGAAATCCCTCAGGCTGTGGCTTGGAGAAGAGACTGTCGGAAGGAGGAGGTGTGTGGCTTTGCCAAAGGAGTGGTGAAGAAGGCAAAGGCCTAAAAGTCAGACAGATGCAAACCAAATAACAGCATCTCCACTTTCCAGCTGTCCTTCTCTAAGCCTCAGTTTCCCCAACTAAAAAAGTTGATTTTTGTGCCTGTTCCTGCTCTACCAGATATATTAAAGTAATACTCCAGGCTGGGCACAGTGCCTCATGCCTGTAATCCCAGTGCTTTGGGAGGCCAAGGCAGGTGGATCGCTTGAGCTCAGGAGTTTGAGACCAGCCTGGGCAACACAGCAAAACCCTGTCTCTACAAAAATTAACTGAGCATGGCACCACACACCTGTGGTCCCAGCTACTCAGGAGGCTGAGGTGGGAAGATCACCTGAGCCCAGAAGGTCGAGGCTGCAGTGAGCCATGATTGTGCCACTGCACTTCAGCCTGGGCAACAGAGTGAGACCCTGTTTTGATAAAAACTTAAAAAAATAATAAAGTAAAACTCCAGATACAACATCACCCAAGGTTCCCCATTTCATCTTTATTTGCCACAGCTCCACATTTCTGACCACAGTCTCGTGAGAGGACTGAGCACTGGTCTTGGAGTCTCAAAGACTTGCCTTTCAATCCCAGGGCATCCCCTGTCACCTGTGTGATTTTGAACAAATCTCTGCACTTGACAGACTCCCCATTTCCACGTCTGGGATAACAGAGGAGAATTTCTCTTTCTTCGCAGAAGTGGTAGGAGTGACAAGCAAGGTACTATGTATGAATGTGCCTTGCCCAGTGTCTGCAGAACACTCAGGGTAAATGTTCATTGTGACTTTTTATTCACAAGCCTTTTTTGGGGAGGGGATGCCTGCATTTTACAGTCAATTTAAGAACAACTTAGCTTTACTCTCCCTGACCAAATGAACACCCTAAAACTTAATATGGAAAGAATACATACTCTGAGCCTGACAGGCCTGGTTTAGATCCTAGCTCTAACTGTGTTCTTGCCCAAGTCACTTTGCCTCTCTGAGCCCTAATTTTCTTAGCTATAAGATGCCATTGATAATATCTACTTTGGCCGGGCACGGTGGCTCACGCCTATAATCCCAGCGCTTTGGAAGGCTGAGGTGAGTAGATCACTTGAGGTCAGGAGTTCAAGACAAGCCTGGTCAACATGGTGAAACTCCATCTCTACAAAGAATACAAAAATTAACAAGGTGTGGTGGTGTGCGCATATAATCCCTGCTACTCAGGAGCTTGAGGCAGAATTGCTTGTACCTGGGAGGCGGAGGTTGCAGTGAGCTGAGATTGCGCCACTGCACTCCAGCCTGGGTGACATAGAGAAACTCTGTCTCAAAAGAAATAACAAAAAGCAAAAAAACTGCTTCACAGGATTGTCATGAGGATGATAAACAATAGTGGTAATAATAACTGAGAACGGGCCTCAAGGCCACCATGGGGGTAGGACAGCTCTGGAGTGATCAACCCAGGTCTCTACCTGGGCAGGTAGAAGGGTTTTTATCTAGCAGATCATCACCTGAAAAAACACCTCAAAACCTATTCATCAGGAAGAATAGCTAATGCAGGCTGGGTTAATACCTAGACAGGTGCAGCAGACCACCATGCCACACATTTACCTGTGTAACAAACCTGTACATCCTGCACCTGTACCCGAGCTGGCCTGAGGGTGTTGCTTGGGGAGGAGTGGCAGTGAGGAAGGGCAGGCTTAGGGGGTACAGCCTAAAATTGGGTTCCCATGTAACTCTCTGCACATTGTCTGTCTTCACAGACAGCAGCTGCCTCCTGAGGCAGGGTCTCAATTCAGCTGGGAGTCTTTGGATGAGATATCTCAGAACAAGGAGCCAACCTGGGTGATCTGTTTGCCAAACTAGAATCGCTAAGCAAGCTGGACACACAGATATGTCCCGGGTAGGAACAGCTGCTATGTATGGTTGGTGGGAATGTAAATTAGTTCCACCATTGTGGAATACGGTGTGGCAATTCCTCCAAGATCTAGGACCAGAAATACCACTTGACCCAACAATCCCATTATGGGATATATATACCCAAAGGAATAGCAATCATTCTATTACAAGGATACATGCACACATGTGTTCATTGCATCACTATTTACAACAGCAAAGACATACAATCAACCCAAATGCCCATCCGTAAAAGACTGGATAAAGAAAATGTGGCACATATATACCATGGAATACTATGCAGTCATAAAAAAGAATGAGATCATGTCCTTGGGAGGGACATGGATGAAGCCAGAAGGCATTATCCTCAGCAAACTAATGCAGGAACAGAAAACCAAACACCGCACGTTTTCACTTATAAGTGGGAGCTGAACAATGAGAACACATGAACACGGGGAGGGAAACATCACACACTGGGGTCTGTCAGGAGTGGGCTGGAGGGAGGGAGATCATCAGGAAGAATAGCTAATGCAGGCTGGGTTAACACCTAGATAGGTGCAGCAGACCACCATGCCACATGTTTACCTTTGTAGCAAACCTGCGCATACTGCCCACGTACCCAGAGCCAAAAAATAAAATAAAACAGAACCTGGAAAATAAAAGAGAATAGTTGATTTAATTTACCAATTTAGATAGTTGAAAAACCAAAGGTCATAGAAGGAACCAGTGCTTGTCAAGTGCCAGAACTTCTGTTTCCCTCTTTTCATTTGTGAAATGGGGATGACGATCAGATAATGCCAACCTCTCCAGACTGATTAAGGATCAAGTGAGAGCCATGGAATCACTTAGCATGGAGGCTACATTGTATAAGCCCTTGAGAAATATTAGCCCATATTATTATAAGGTATGAGGCAGAGGGGAGGGGTGGTTACTGAGGCAGAGATCACAAGAAGGATGGATGCTTCAGAGGAAGATGATGGATTCAGTTTGGGGGAACTGAGTTTATGTGCCAGTGGGTCATCCAAGGAAGATGTCCATCTGGCGGGCAGTTGATATGGTGGTTGGTGGTCATGAGGCCACAGTCTGGAACTCTGGACAAAGGTCTGAACAGGAGATGTAAATTTGAGAATCCTTGGCACAGAGGTGGTGAAACCGTGGCTGGTGGGGGGTGAAGACCCCAGGGGTGATACTGGAGCAGAATATGAAAAGAACAGAGAGCCAAAGGGGGCTGCTGAAGAACACCCAGATGTTGGGGGAGCAGAGCCAGGGCACACTGGAAGCTTCTAGGAAGGAGCAACCAGTGAGCTCAGAAAGGGTGAACTCATGGGAACCAGGAGAAGAGAGTGGCTGAAGAAGAAGGAACTGGTAAATAGCACGTATGTCATGGACAGGTCAAGAAATCAAAGGCCTAAAAGCACGTGTTATAGTACATGCTTTCTCAGGCCAGTGCAGGCCATAAAGTGACTGCCCTGAGTGTATACTACCAGCTCCCAGCCAAGGGAGGCCAACCTGTAAAGCTCACGTAAGAACTGTGAGTCAGCCAGGGGCCTCCAAATGGAACCTGACGGCTCTTGAGAGGCAATGTAGAGGAGGAGAGGGACTCAACCCCTCTGCATGAGATCATGAAACCCCGGCAGGCCTCTAAACAGCTCTGAGACAGTTTCCTCATCTGCAAAAAGGAGATAATACCCAAACCTTATATCAGGGTTGTATAAGAATTGGATGACATCATAAGATACCCAGTATACAATGGGCACTCAAAGGTTAGTGCTCCCCAGCATTTTAATATAAAAATGTGGATCCTCATGATGGCCCTGAATTACTAAGAAAAGGAGAGTAATTGACATTCAGTTTAATTGCCCTCCTTTTGGAAATACAGGGAAGAGTGTAATGTACTTTAGAAAGATTCACAGTAGAAGTCATGTCTGTCTTCTTTTCTTTTTTTTTTTTAACACATCTTATTTTATTCAGGTAGCAGTCTGATCACACATGGGCCAACAATACTCAAATAATAACTCAAATATAACCAGATGTTAAAGATTGGTCTTCAAACACCATAGCCAGTGATGCCACACTTGTTTATGATCTCTCCGCCATAAACCACATCAACACCTCAGTGGTCACCAAACCATTCAGTACAACTTCCTTAACTGTGAGTTGTTTGAAGCTACCATTCTGAGCACTATTGACTATTTCTTTCAGGTTCTGGATAGCTCTACGGATCTCAGCAGGGGTGGGAGGAATCAGCTCAACCTTGGCATAGTACCAAAATGTGACCAACTGAGGCTTCGAATAAGTCACAGCAGTGTTCACCAGCGCCAGGGTCTTCTCCACAAGGTTACAGACAAATTGGGCCATGGTTCTGGGATGGAAAGTCTGTCACCCCGAACGGCTGGCTGAATGTCCTGTCTTATTTTCGAAGACGGTTGGTCTTGGTAATGGGGTACCCCCGGCATGACCACCAAGCTCCCCTTCAGCACCATGATTCAGTGGCTTTTCCTAGAAGGAAGTGGGCATCTGCATATTTGCTCCCTGCTCAGAAGTCATGGGGAGCTTTCCTGGCTAGTCTAGAAAGACCCAGGTGGCTGGGGAATGAGAGGAAAGCCACGCAGAGCTCACAGAGGAGCCCCAGTGAGGGTTCAGTTTAGGTAAGTAAGGTTAAGTTGTTCTTAAAATGACTTGTAAGGATTCAGTCACAGTTAACATTTACTCCAAGTGCTGAGCGAGGCACGGTCACATATCACATATCACACAGTCTCAGTTGTCACTGCCACCAGCCTCAGGAGGAAGATGGAATTCTCCTCTCTCTTACACATGGACACTGGGATTCTGTCAAGTGAAGTGATTTTCTCAAAGTCACACAGGTGGCTCTTGGACTGGAAGGAGTGTCTGTGGTCAGGAAGGAAAAGTCACCTGGATTAGCGGAGTTGGGGAGGAAGACAATGAGGGAGGAAGCTGTGGGCAATGTGATGTCTGGGTTTCACTCCAATACATCCTAACAGAACAGTACCAGGTGCAGGGAGAGGCTGGGACCACTCTGCAAATGACAGACCAGACACCTGGGCAGGCAGAGGTGTTTCCATGTAGCAGGGGCCCGCCACCTGCAGACACGCATCAAAGCTCTGCCATCATTGTCCTTAGTCTGTGACTTAGGGAAGAGTCACAACAAAGAAGGGAGAAGGGGAGAGGAAGAAGAGTCAAGGTGCTTCCAGGCTTGGGTACTGGGTAAGTAGTGTGCCATTATCAGAGACAGGAAGCAGGAGAGAAGTAAGTTTGAAGAAGACATACTTTAGGGCTCCAGGTTTGAGGGCTGCATGCCTGCAACTGAGCCCCACTGGTATCCATGGTGGCCAGGAGGGCAGAAGCAATCAACACACCAGCTGTGATTAACCAGGGGTCAAGTGTGAATGAAGCAGAGAGAAGAAAACCTACAACATTGGACTTTTCATGGAATATGTAACACAGCACATGGGGAGCACCCCAGGGAGTTCCCAGCACCGAGCAGGTGCTGCTCTCTTCTTCTCACCTCGTGCTTGTCAGATGAGGATGCTGAGGCCTGGAAAGGAAGAGTGACATCACATAGATAGTGAACTAATGGAACCAAGACTGGGATCCTGACTGCCTACCACCCAGAGGCCCCAACTCTTAGGCACTTGACGACCCCTTCCTGCTGAACCAGGATGATGTGTCAGCCACAACACCACAGCAATCCTGATCATGTTAACAAAGGTAGAGTCTGGACTGCACTGCCCAGCACTGTAGCCATGAGTTCTGTTGTTCCTGAGCACTTGAAACATGGCTAGTCCAAATGAGATGTGCTGTTGAGTATAAAAACACACCGGATTTAAACATATCATATGAAAAAAAGTTTCAAGTATCTCATTAATGATTTTTGATACTGATTACATGCTGAAATAATATTTTGACTACATTGGGTTAAATAAAAATATTTTTAAGTTAATGTTAACTATTTCTTTTTACTTTTTTAAAAAGATAGATGCTTATTTAGTATTTATTTACTTATTGAGATGGGATCTCACCCTGTTGCCCAGCCTGGAGTGCAGTGGCACAATCATAGCTCACTGCAGCCTTGAACTACTGGGCTCCAACAGTCCTCCCACCCCAGCCTCCCAAAGCACTGGGATTATAGGTGCATGCCACCATGCCCAGCTCCTTTTATTGAGGCAGCCACTAGGAATTTAAAATTATACATGTGGCTCACATTATATTATCATTGGACAGCACATTATCATTGGTCTTGATGTTGTAGAAGATGGGGCTGCCGTATCCTATTCAGAGGACTGAGCTGAATTCTAGGCTGCAATTTCAGGAGACACGTAGGCAAAGAGGAGTCGATTCAGAGCATGAGGAGGGTGGGGAAGGGACTTGGAATGAGGTCACAGCACTGTACAACTCCAAGGGTACCACTGATGGTATGGTCCAGTGAGCATCCAAGCTTATCTCATGTAAGGGGCAGTTGAAGAAACTGGACATGTTCCACTTGGATGGAAGGCTTGGAGAGGAGATGTGATCACTGTCTTCAAATAGCACAGGATCGTCATGGGATGCTGGGGGCAGATGGGTTCTGTGCGGCTTCAAAGAGGAGAGCTGAGTTTCAAGGGAGAGCTCCAGGGAGCAGAATTCCATGCTAGGGAAGGCCCAGGGCCTTTCAAAGCCAGGCTGTGCTTCCTTTTCTGGGGGCATGGAGAGTGAATGACACCTGGAGCCCTTTGGTGGATTTGCCTTGGGAGGGGTGAAGCACAGAAGAAAGAAATGTGTTAGTTTATCAGCAGTGGAAAAGGGCCTCACATCTTAAGCCTCTGGAGCACCTTTGGGCTGGATGACTGCCCCAAGCAGGCCAAAACAGAGGGGCTCTCTGAGGTTTCAGCCTAATAATAACACTACAGAACTGCTTATTGAGCATGTAGTACATACCAGGGGACTTTACTGTGTCTCTCACCTACCCGGAGGAAGTGGGTACTATTTACCAATTATCAAGTGGATAAGGAAACTGAGGCTCAGAGAGAAGGAATGCTTTATCCCAGGTTACACAGCCAGGATGAGCTGAGATTTGAACCCAGTCTGACTGATCTCAGGGCCCAAAGGCATGGGGTGGCCTCCTCAGGGAGCCTGGAGGGGCAGGGGCCAGCCAGAGCCCTGGGAAGCTGGGTTGGTTCTTCATGGGAAGCCAGGGCCCCACTGGGCTCTCCAATTAGCAAGAGCAGAGAAATCAGAGGCAGCAACAAGCTCTGCTAATGAGCTGCCACATTAAACAATGAGTCACACTTCCATACGGTGCCGCTCCAGCCCTAACCCGGAACAAACAAGCTGTGAGAAACAGTTTACAAAACAGCGAGGTGTGACTGTCTCCCTGCTGCCGCCTGCCGCTGCTGCCACCACCACAGCACTGCAGCCACCACCGTGCCCGCCGCCCACGGGCGCACACAGGTGCAAGGGGCAGGCCCGGGAGGGGGCTAAAGAGCCAGACCTGGTTTCTGGGCTCAGGAGGAGTCTCCTTCTTTGAAAGTGACCCGGGGACAGTCCCTGAGCTCCAGCTTCCACTGCACTCTACCCATTTCCTGAGATGCAGGGGTTCTGTCATTTGGTCACTCTGTGACCTAGGGCAAATGACTTAATCTCTCAGGGTCTCAGTTTTCTTATTTGTATTGCAGGGATAATAATATCTAGCTCATTATTTAATTGTGAAGGCTAAATGTTGTCATCACATAAACTGCCTATCACAGAGCCTGGCATAGACCCCTTCCTCCCCCTTGCATCCTTCCCTTCCCCTGTAGAGGGACTGCAGCTCTGAGCTAGTCTTGTAGAAATCCCTCATTAATGGTGCCTGCCTTCCTTTTCCTGACCTATATTGCATTTATTTGTGTCCCTGGATTACCCCCAACTAAAATATGGAATCCTGTGAGCAGGGACTTGTCTTACTCATTTCCCTACTCTCAGGCCCAGCACAGGAGGTGGCAGGGTGCAGTGGGAGCAGCAATAGGCATTAGGGACAACAACTGTGAGTTCAGATCGCTCCTCTAGCAGTTATCTGTGGGATCCTGAGCAGCTATGATAAGAGCCATTTATGGAACACTTCCCTGTCCCAGACCCAAATGCTTCATGTGTTCTATCCCATTTAATCCAAAGAGGAGTGTTACTGTCCCCTCTCACCAACGAGGAAATGGGCTTTCAGAGCAGTCAGGTAACATGGTGTGATGTCTTTGCAATGTGTCAACTAGGCTCAGCTGAACCACGTTTCCCAGAATTCCCTTTCCTGTATGTTTCAGGTTAGAATCCCCTAGTGGCTCTGTTTCTCTAATTGAAACCCAACTGATTCAGATGGCCAACTTTCCAGAGTAAGTTAGTGATGGAGCTGGAGTTCAAAATGGGTGTTCCTATCACAGCACTGAAGATTGTTAACTACTCACTCTGATAATAATAGCTAATACATGGTCATTATGAACTAGTTATATGTTTACTCATTTATAATTCCCCCAACAATCTATAGGTCATTTCTATCATTAGCATCTCAATTCTTACAGGTGAGGAAACTGTGGCACAGAACGGTTAACATGTACAAGGTCATATAACTAAGAAGTGGGAAATCTGAGAATCAAACCCAGATTGATTGGCTACACATCTATCTTTTTATCCATTACATTCTTCTACCTCTTCAACTCTAGTATACTACAACTCAATCCCTAAAACTAAACTTTCCTCGTCTATAAAATGGGAATAATCATACCTAATATAGAAGACATTTGTGATAATTAAGTGTGAAATTGTAGTTACAGAGCTTCTGGACAGAAGAAATAACAGGGAGTTGATTCACCATCTTTCCTAAAGCAACTAAAAACCTAGATAAAATATATGAAACAACTGTTTTCAGCCACTGAACATAAGGCAGTACAAAACAGCAATTCCTGAGAGATGAGAAACTAATGAGGTAAGCCCTACAATTGCCAGCTTCTACCTGGGGAGAGTTTCCAGGCTGTAGCACAAGGGGTAGCATCCAGGCTATTACAGCTCCCTGAGTGGAGGAGACAGACAGAGAGGCTGAGAGGCCATCATGACTAGACTTCATAGGGCAGAGAACTGGAGAGGAGAGCTTCTCAAAGAGAGAGCTCGAAAGAGCCGCAGAAAGTCCCTTCAAGCCCTCAGTTGAATATTGAACAGTATTTGTATGTGAGGAAATGACCCAAGTTTAAGGAAAGAATATCCCAAAGGAGCATAGGAAAGAGTCTCCAAAGTTCACACAGACCTAGAGTGGTGTGTGTCCCTATCAACCAGATTGGAAAAGTTCACAAATCTCAAAGATTCAAGTAGATTCCTTAAAAGGGCATTACTGCAATAGTGGGAGGAAACGCAGTGGTCTTGCCTGAGAAAACTGCAAAGCAAGCCTCAAAAAATCAAAGTTTTCAAGTAACTTAACTGCATCCCAAAACAAAACTTAAGAATATTCATAGGAATATTAAAATGGTCAGCACACAAGGTAAAGTTCATAATGTCTCACATCCAACAAAAAAAACTGCTAGTCATGTAAAGAAACAGGAAAATACAACTGAAAATGAGGATAAAAAATTTAGCAAGAGAAACATACCTGGCTGGGCGCGGTGGCTCACACCTGAAATCCTAGCACTTTGGGAGGCTGAGGTGGGCAGATACCTGAAGTTGAGAGTTCAAGACGAGCCTGGCCAATATGGTGAAACCCTGTCTCTAATAAAAATACAAAAAATTAGCTGGGTGCAGTGGTGTGCACCTGTAATCTCAGTTACTCTGGAGGCTGAGGCAGGATAATTGCTTGCACCCCTGAGACAGATGTTGTAGTGAGCTGAGATTGTGCCGCTGCACTCCACCCTAGGCTACAGAGTGAGACTTTGTCTCAGAAAAAAAAGAAAAAATAACATAACCTAAAATATCACAGAAAATAGAATTTGTATATAAGACATTAAAACAATTATAATAACTATATTCCATATGCTCAGGAAACTAGAGTAATGATTGATCATGTTAAGTAGAGAGAAAGGGGAGATAAGACCCAAATCAAACTTCTAGATGTGAAAAAATACAATGTCTGCAATGAAAAATGACACTGGATGGAATTAACAGCAGATTTGAATTAACACAGAAGAAAGGACTTGTACATTTGAAGACACAGCAATAGAAACTGTTTAAAATGAAATTCAGAAAAAATATATTATATATATTTAATAAACAGCTCATCAATGAGCTGTTGGATAATTTTATGCAATCTAACATATGTGTAATTAGAATCTCTCAAAGAGGAGAAGAACACAAAAATATTTAAAGAAATAATAACCAATAATTTCCCAAATTTGAAACAAACCATAAACCATGGATTCAAAAATACCAACAAAACATCAAGCACCAAGGCATTTAATGATTAAATTGCTTAAAACCAGAAATAAAAAGAAAATCTGAAAAGTAGCAGAGAAGAAGATACACATTATATACAAAAGAACAATGAATGTCAGCAGACTTCTTATTGAAAGTATTTCAAGCCAGAAGTCAGTGGAATAATATCACTAAAGTACAGAAAGTTAAAAAAAAAAATCTGTCAACCCAGAATTCTGTACCCAGTGAAAATGTTTCAAAACAGAGGTGAAATGATTGCTTTTTTCAAAATAAAAAGTTGAAAACATTCATCACTGGCAGACCTGATCTACAAGAAATGTTAAAGAAAGTCCTCAGGACAGAAGGAAAAATGATACCAGATGGAAATTTGAATCTACACCAAGGAATAAAGGACTTCTGGAAAAGTAGTAATGTGAGAAAATATTGAATACTTTTTTATTTTAAAAGTATCTTTAAAAGATAATTTATTGGTTAAAGCAAAACAACAAGTATTCTGGGTTAATAACATATATAGAAATTAAACACATGACAGCAATAGCATAAAGGTTGTGAAAGAGGAAAGAGAAGCATGCTGTTGTAAGGTCCTTACTCTGTGTGAAATGGTATAAGATTACTTGAAGTGGTTTGGGATTGAGGCCGTACACTATAAATGCGAAAGTAACCACTAAAAAATAGCTGTATCTGATTAAGCTAATAAAGGAGATAAAATGA